ACACATCAAATTTGCAACATTGTACCAGATTTGTCATTTTTTAAAGGTAGCTGATTCATAAAGAAATTCTGGGCCACAAAAAACAAACTGACAACCCCCTCGGGCTGCAGTGGCCTCCTCGCCGCCCCTCACCCGCCTGGCGTGTCCTGCCTGGGCACCTACCCTCCGACTTCCTGCCGCAGGGAGCACTTTGCCCCCAGACACTCACAGGCCCGCCCCTCACTTGCTCTGGTCTCTGCTCAAACGTCATCCTTACCAGAGAGACCGTCCCTGGTCATCCTATCAAATAGCATCTCTGTCCCATCCAGCCATCTCTACCTGGTTTATCTTTCGTTGCCATTGTTGTCTATTAAGTCCCCCGTTAGAACAGGGACGTCCCTCTGGTTCACTGCTCTACCCTCACAGTGATGCAGCTGCGTCCTGACACATTTATGTCAACAAATAAACATTGTCGACGGAGTCAATCAGCGTCAGCGCCCTCGATATCCGGACTTTCAGGGACACTGGCTTTAGAGGCGCTGCCTGTTTGAGCCCAGGCTGCCTCCTCCTGAGCACCAATTGGGGGTGCAGGGGATATGCAACCCAAGGCGGTAAGCATGAGCCAGGTGACCCCCTTGGGGGACCTTCCCCCAAAACGAGTGTCGCCTTCCTGCTCACCTGAGCTGCGCCAACAATGGTTTTCTCACATACATGCAGGGCTCCCTACGTTGTAAAATCCTAGATCTTCCCACACTGCTGTGTCCTCGTGGGTAAGCAGGTGTCTCCTTCACAGTGGAAGGAACCCTGAGGGCCGTTAGGACGCCTGACCGTTAGGACACCTGCTCAGTGCTCGTGTGACCTGAGCCAGTTCGTCTCTGAGGGTCCACTTCCTTCATGTGGAAATGTGAGCAGCAGTTGCTCATAGTCTTCTGGTAACAATTAGATGTGATCGTGGGAGTGAAAATGCCTAAACTAGAAAGGAATCGGAGTTACGGCGGGGGCAGAGTGGCAGGTGTCCTAGAGTCTTGCAGAACCAACCCAGGGCCACCACTACCGTGTGACGGGGCAGGAGGTCCGACCTTCTCTGAACACCAGAGGCGGTGGGAGAGACACAGTGCCCGCCCAGCGGAGGCGCCGGGAGGGTGACGCGGGAGGGGCCCTGTGGAGAGCGGAGCAGTGCTGACGGCTGCCGCTGGCGGGGTTCTCACCGTCACCGTGGAGGCCATTTGGTGGCAGCTCGGCACAGCACTGGAAAAGCTTGGGCTCAGTGTTCAGTGGGCCTGCGGCCCTGGGCTGTTTAGGGAAAACTACCTGACATCCAGATCTTCAATCCTTCTTCCTGCAAAGTGGACGACGAATAGTCCCCTCTGTGGCAATATTTTTGGGGAGCCTAGAAAGAAGCCGAGTTTCTGAAGGCACAGGATGGAGGACACTCAGATGGGAAGTCAGTTCTAGTCAGGGGCTGGGAAGCTGAGGGATGGAGCACCAGGTGCGTTTGCTGGCAGGTGGGAGATGGCAAGGCTCCTTAGGGCTCAGGCCCCTGCTGAGCCTGGACGGGGGGGGCTGGGGGGGCTGGGGATCCCACCCTAGGAGGTCGGGAGAGTGGAAATTGCATGATTCACACTCAAAGCACTCAGAAATAGAGGTCAATGTAAAGCCCCTCGGAGCCTGGCTGCCTGAGTTCAAATGCTGGCCCTGAAGTACTAGCTGTGCGGCCTCTGGCCCCAGGGTCCTCATCTGTGAAATTAGAATGTGACAGGACCCATGCAGGGGCTGCTATGTGGCTTATGACCCGTAGCCCCCTGCCTCACAAGTAGCAGCCAGTATGAGGTCTCCAAAATCAGTTTAACTCACATAGAATTAGAATAGATGTGCTTAGCCAAAATAAAGCCCAACTAAATGAAGTTTTAATTGGTGCCTTTCACTCAATGAGCATCTGCCACTGAGTGTGGGTGACACGGGAGGGCGTGGGCTCTTCCCTCGCAGCCTCGCCCTCGTAGGAGCGCCTCCCGAGGCCGCGCAATTCTAACATAAAGTCACATCTTTCCCCACAGCACGGCCCCTGGAGACAGGGTGGCTACTTGATCCCACCCTCCAGAGAAAGCCATCTGTCCCCTCCTGCCGCGGCTAGACCCGGAGACCCTGCGTCGGCCCCAGGTGGGCTCTGTCCGGGCAAGACCAGCATCCGCTACACTCTCGCGTTCTGGGCTGTCTGGGCCCCTGAGCTCTTCCCTGGGGGGGACCCGGCACCACACACCTTCCCCACGAGCCTGGGCCCTGCTCTCTCCCTCCAGGAGGCGAGCTGACACATGAGCGCGTGAGGCAGCCTGACAGCCAGGGGTAATTTCAAATTCAATCTATCATTTTTAAAACAGTAAATTACAAACGACGATATTGAATGTCAACAAATATTCATCACAGATGACTAATTTCTCCGCGTCTCAACACATGCAGCTGAAACCGCAAACCGCTCCACATGCCCAGCCTCGCCACGGGAACGAGACCTCCCTCTAGACTATGCGCCAGACTGAGGCCGTCTTCGTCTGCGGATGCTGGAGGCAGCGTGGGGGCCACCGGTGAGAAAGGGAAGACTGGGGAAGGGGGGTCTAGGGCCCTGACTCCAGTCTAGTCCTGCCGCAGCCCCACTGAACTCCTCCAGGCCTTGCTTCCCCAGGCCTGGAAGACAGAGGACGCCCTCCCCATCTCTGCCAGGTCCCAGGCGCCCCGGATTACTGCCCTCTTATGCTTTTCTTTGCATTGACTCTTACTCAAAAATTTTACTTTAAAAGCGAACTTTCGCCACCTTTGGAGCATAATACTGAACCGATTCATGGAAACTGTTAACAAACAGGAACGAATCCAGCATTTACCCTGCCCTTCCTCTATGAGCCGTACCCCCGGGCACCAGGCACTAGGTGACGAACCTCCTGCTTTTTTATTAAAGGACTCGAACTAATAAATGACAAGGGAGTGTTAGCATTAGGGTATCAACTTCTCAAACCCTTAATGAATGAATGGACCTAGGCCCCGAGCAGCAGCGGTTGCCAACATCACAAAGAGGGGAAGCCAGGCAGCATCTGCCTGCAGAGGAGAGGACACCCTCCGCCTGCGCGTGGGGGAGCCCACCCCTGGGCTAGGGGTAACCAGGCTGAAAAGGCTCTGGGTCCACACCCCAGATCGTCAGCCGATAGAACAGCAAATCATAGACAAGACGGAAGGGATGGAGAGAGATCACTATGTTGAAAGACTTACAAAACACATCAAATTTCTACAAGTAGGACAGATTAAACCATGGTTTAATACCATGATACATGGTTCTATACGTGATAAAACGGCAAAGACACGAAGGGAAGCCAGCTGCCCCTGGGGGAGGACTGCGACGCGAGCAGAGAACCTTCTCGACCTGGGTAGCAACATAAGGAACTTAACCTGCTATTCCGTGTAGTTTTCTGTATTTGATTTATAATATTTCAAAATTAAAAGACTTATAATGCTGTTGTAAATGGAAGAAATCTGAGGGGAAAAATGTAAAAGCAAAACAGTGACGTAGGAACCGCTGTTTGCCACAGCCCAGGGCCTACAGCCGGGGACCCTGTCAAAAAGCCGAGGGTCAGGAGGTGCAGCGAACAGGGGAGCACAAAATAGGAACTTTCTCCTTGAGGTTCTCAGAAAAGCTTCCAGGGAACTCAAAAGGGGCGCGTGACTGAAAATCCACCTGATTCACCTTTGCACTGCCCAGGACCACCCTGCACAGCGGTGCCAACCCATGGCTGGCAAACACGATTCCAGCTCTGAGTCCTGGCGGCGGGGAGTGGAGGGCGCTCCTGCAGACCAAGTGCTGCATTATGCGCTGCTCATGTGTAATCTCACATCTTCCTCACAACCACCTCAGATAGGGCTGCTATCGTCACGGTCATTTTACAGGTAAAAGACAAGTACAGCCCCAAGAGGTGTGCAATTTGCCCAAGGTCACTTAGCCAGTAAGTGACAGAGGCAGATTTGAGCCCAGGTCTCGGAGAAGAGCATTTAGAATCGAACAGGAGCTGAGGTCCAGCTCTGTGCCTCTCACCAGGGCAGTTCTGTGCCTGGTGTGTGGTCTGCACTGAGAAATCCTCCCCAGACCCCGTTCTGGGGCTTCAAGGCTGGATGTGTTCAAACTCCGTTAGCACAGCACAGGAGTAGGTAATGTTGGAGAAGAGAGGAAGTCCCCATCTTTAAATTAGATGTCACATCTCACATAGGGTTGGGCTCTAAAATTAGCACATGGGGTAAGAGCTGGATGGAGTCAAGGTCATCGTGAAAACTCCCTGAAAGCATCTTTAGGTCACAGGGCCACCGGCTCTCAGGAGCCCCAAAGGCAGGAATTAACTCTGTCCCTCTTTGTAGTAGGGGCTCTGGCCTCCCCTCCTTCGGTATGTAAAAGGGGACATGGCTCAGGGTTCTTTAAGGGCGTCTCTTGCTCTCACAGAGCTGGAGTCACAGTCAAGAGCAGACAGTGCACCAACGTCCCCTCTTGGGAGCCACAGCTCTGAGCTCACGAGCTCCTGCCCAGGACACTGCGCCCCACCCTGGGAGTCCTTGGAGGGCCGTGTTCTCAGGAAACCCCTCCTCCCAGGAGGTCCACGCAACTGAGGAAGGTACTGGAGCATCTAGGCTAAGGGTCTGGAGGGCTGTCTACCACCTAAAGGCACAGCGTGGGGACCTCTGCCCTCAGTCCCACCTGCTGTTACATCCTATATTGTCAGGCCAAAAGTCCTGTGTTTCTGTCCCCATGTCACCTCTTGCTGTCAGTGAAAGGCCCTGCTCTGTCGGCTATAAAAGCAATTGTCTGCCTTCCTTTATCTTTGTTGAAACAGCATCTGCCTGGGGGAGAGTGCTTCTCAGCGGCCAGCTCAGAGGTTCCCAGCAGCCTTCTCTGGGCCCCACATTTTCCTGTCTCACTGGAATAGCTTCGGCAAAAACCCGCAGAAACCCTGGGGTGAAGTGCCCAGGCCCCAGGCCCCAGGCCCCAGGCCCCTTACCATGGTCTGGAAGCAGGAGTGCAGCTGGGTCAGGAAGGGCGGCTTCCCGGGCAGGGCCAGCACCCGCTTCTCCACCATGGTGCACTCAACGTCATCGTCCTGGATCACAACATCCTTCTTCAGGATCTTCACGGCGTAGAGCTCATCCGTGCCTTTTCGCTCCGAGAGCATGACCTGGGAGAGAGAGCAGCAGGTCAGGGTGCTGAGAGGGCCCCGGGGGAAGCCAGGGGAGCTGATGCCACTCAGTCCTCTCGGGGCCTTGTCCACAGGCCCTCCACTAAACCAACAGGGGACGCTTTCCGCAGATGTCACACCTGCCAGGGCTGAACCCAACCAACAGAGACGGTTCAAGGAGCACTGACCAAGTACTGGTCCCTCTGGGACATGGTTCAGTGCCCAGCAACACGGCTGGAAGATAAACCACATGAGGGCAAGTGTCTGCCTGTTTCATTCCCTGGTGCAACTTGGCACATAATAGGTGTTCAATAAACCTTTGCTGGAGGAGGGGATTCCTGATAAAACTGAATACGGGGCTCTCGTCCCCTTATTCATTCAACTATTTAATATTCATCACGAGCCTGGTAAGCACTGGGGATACCGCAGTAAGCAAGCAGGAACATTCTGGCTTCGCACTCCTGAGAGGAAGAGAGGCTTCAGACAATTACAGGGGTGATTAATGTAATATTTCAACATCCCCTCCGCTGTCCTGGGGCCTCCCCCATGCAGCTGTGGTCACCAGCAGGGCACGTCAGTCGGTGTGGCTCACGGCACCCCATCGTTCTGGCTGGTCGCGACCACCCCGAGGGAGCAGTGGCCGGAGGGTGCTGATCCCCACGAGCCTCGCAGGAGGGACCTTCTGATTGGGCAGTGGACCCACTTGCCGCAGCTGATCGGTAGGTGACTGGCCTAAGCTGGGCCGTCGGGTTATCTCCGTAAGAGTTGGCAGTTAGGGGGCTCCAAGCCCTCAGTCTGGGGCCCCGAAGAGCACGCACAGAGCTGCCGAGGGCGGCTCGTTCCCACCGCGCGCAGGCAAAGAATGAAACTGAGGGGGAAGGAAGGTCGGGGGCGAGCAGAGACCTGCTTTCCAGCTCCTGGCTCCAGTCTCTCCCGGGGCTTGGCTGTTTCCCATTGGAAACCATACCCCTCCAATAAAATTATTGTTCTTATTTAAATTAAAACCGTTTGAGTGCATTTATGTTTCTTAGAGATCCTATAAGACAAAATTATTCCTTGAGTAGCTCAAAATCTTAATGAAAATTAAAATTTCAGGAAGCCAAACATGGTCAGGTGACTTGAACCGAGGCAAGTTCCGCTCTTCTGAAAGGTCAGCACCTCGGCCTATGTCAGGTCCCTGCGGCCCTTGTTGGCCACAGAGAGTCCCAGCTCCCCCTCGCGTCCAGAAGGGCTCTGGCTGGGGGCCGGGAGTCTGCATTTTAACCATCGCCTCCCCCCCCCAAATCTAGTTAGTAAATGTGCTGTTGTGGGGAACTCTGAGGTACTACCGAAGCTGGCCCATTTAAGGGGGTGGCTGGGAGGCGCCCGTAAGTGAAACTATCCTGCCTTGAGTTTCCTAACAATTTCTCAGCAGTCATTCCTGCGGTCAGAAGAGAATTTTCCTTTGCTTCTTAGCATTCTAATCTTTTTTTCTTTTTTTGTTAAAAAGTACAGCTGACATACGGTATTATTTTAGTTTCAGGTGTATAACCTAGCGATCCAACATTTACATACCTTCCAGTGTGGTACCGACAAGTCCAGTGCCCACTGGTGAGCATACAAAGTTCTTAGTATATTACCGATTATATTCCCTACGCTGTACCTTACATTCCAGTGATTATTTATTTTATAACTAGAAGTCTGTACCTCTCATTCCTCTTCAGTGTTTTCAAAGAAGCTGCCCCCCCCCCCAACTGGAATATTACTCAGCAATAAAAAGAATAGAATTTTGCCATTTGTGGCAACATAGATGGGCCTAGAAGGTGTTGTGCTAAGTGAAATAAGTGAGACAGAGAAAGCTTTCCTTTTCAATAGGAATCTCTCTGCCCTTTCTGGAGAGCTTTCTGAGCGCATCCCCAGTCGTAAAGGAAGTGGCATTCCGGGTGGTTCCATAAAATGCCCATAAGAGCTGACGCTCCTCAGTCAGCAGGCGGAGTCTGTGGCCTCTTCCCTTGAGCCTGGGCAGCGCTTTGGATGGCCTCAGTGAAAGGGGCACAGTGTGGGTGGCCCTGTGTGACTTCCAAGGCAATAGCTTCTGTCCGTTTCTCTTGGGACACCTGCTTTGGAGCCCTGAGGCCACCGTGCTAGTGAGGCCACAGAATGGGTCCACGTGGAGAGGCCTGGAGACTGCGGGAAGAGCTCGGGGCCCAGATGGCCCCAGGTGCTCCAGTCCCAGCTGTCCCAGCTCCAGCCACTGCAGGAGGGACCCTGCGCCACAATCTACAGTGAGCACCCCAATTTCCTGACCCACAGAGACCATGAGAGATGAGAGATGATTGCTACTGGTTTAAACCTTGGAGCTTTGGGGGGATTTGTTAATGTAGCAGTAGAATCTAAGTTCATAGATGCGCTAATGCCACCCAGTGTCGTCAGGGTGGCCCCTGTCACCTTGGTTTAATTCTTGGGTTTGGTTTTGCGCACTTTTTTCAGTCAATATTTTTGAAAAGCTTCAATAGCTTTTGCCTCTGGGTGAGGCACCAGAGATGGAATGCGCTCTGCCTTCCAAATGTGTCACTCTCCTGGTCCCGCCAGGACCTGGCAGGCTGGCAATTCACCCATTCACTGAGTCAACATTCATCAGTGTCTAGGGTGTGCCCAGCACTGCAGGGCACAGGGGATGCAGGATGACAAGATTCCTGTCCTCATGAAGCTCACACTGCAGCCCAAATGACGGCTACTTCAATTGTCGTTAGACCCTGAAAAAGCAGTGTGCCACCGGTGCCCTGTGAGCGTTTAAGTGGAGGGCTTAGCCTGACTCGATGGGTGCTCTGGGGATGGGACGGTTGCGTGGAGACCCAGGACCAGCAGAGCAGAGACAGGAGAGGCACAGTCCAGCCACAGGGGAGGGAACCGGTTCCCTAGATTCAGCCACCTGGACCCACGATCCTCGGCCTTCACATGCTGTAGGGAGTGAGCACTCAAGCTCCAGAACCCCAATTCCTGATCCCAACCCCCAGCTTTCTGAGATCCAGCAAACCACCGTCTCCAGCAGAACCCGAGAGACCCGGCAGGAGGAGTGGCGCTGCCAGCAGTGGGGAGACTGAGCGAGGAACAGGTGCTGCGCAGAGGAAATGGCCCACATCTGTGCCAGGGACGGCCAAGGCAATGCCGGGGCCCGTGGGAGGGGACGCGTCAGGGGCTGGTGAGGATCGCCACGCCCGCGTCTCCTCACACTGTGCACCATCTCATTTAGTGCCCACAGGAACGTGGGGCGGGCTCCACTCCTGCCCCTCCTCTACAGATGAGCAGTCAGGAGACTTGTCAAGGTCACCCCACTGGGAAGTGGCACTTCCTGTGTCACCTGTCTCTGAAGTCCATGCTCTTAGCCACAACCCATCGATTCTCGAGGCCAAAGTACCAAGTGTGTGAGGCCGCCTCTTCAAGTTATTGCTGGGGTGCTTCAGATTTGGGGTGCTTCAGATTCGGGGTGTTTCAGAGTCAGCTCCAGATCCTGGCCCTTAGCCTCCTTTGCCTCCCCAGCCGCCTGCTGAGGTCGGGATCCTGTGGACTGATTCACGGCCACAGACGAACGTCACTGCCTCCTCCATTCCTTATACAACCACCAGCACACCAGGCGCCTGTGGCACTGAGCGAGGCTCTGGCGGGCGCCACCCACAGGGCACACCCGGCCCTGGTTCCAGGGAGTAAGTGGCTGGAGAAGATCTTCCTTCCTCCTGCTGGGCCCTGAGGCATCAGTGTGCAGAGAATGGCAGAGAAACAGCCATAGGGCTGGCAACGCCGATGACCATGCTCTGAGTGCCCTTTAAGTGACGCCCGTCTTCTAGTCATTGTCTTGCGCGGTTTCAGGAGCTCCCGCTTCAGTCAAGAGCAACACGCGGGGTGGGCTGTTTGCTCGGCCGTCGTTCCTCTCTCGGGTGAGGACTCCCACCAGATGGAAAGGATGTGTGGAAGTGACATTCTTATCAAATTCCAAGCCACACCTGCTGCCNGCCACACGCATCCTCTGGGAGAGCCGTGAAGGGCGACAGGAGAGGTGGGGGAAGGGAGCCCAGGCCTGCCGTCTGGGAGTCCGCGCTGAGGAGCGGGAGTGGCCACAGGGGCACCGGTGGCGAAGTGTGCCCCGAATCTCAGCTCCTGACCTCACCAGGACAGTGGCGGTCAGGCACGGACTCCAGACTAAGGCCTGGGACATGTCCAGGTTCTTCCATGTGCTGGTGCTTGACTTTGGGAAGGTCAGTTAGCTTTGCTGAGCCTTGTAGCCTCATCTGTAAACCAGGGACACCCGCAACGCTTAGCTCTCGGGGTGCTGAGGGGCTGGTGGGCAAGGTGTGCGCCGAGCTGGGAGCGCGAGTGCTACTGTCCGGTGGCTGTACTGGTGTCCCCCGGCTGCTGTCACAAGGAGCCGGAACCGCGAGGCCTGAAGCGACAGGAGTCTGTTCTCTCGGTTCTGGAGGCGGAAGCCGGGTGGGGGCAGGGTGGTTTCTAAGGCCCGGCGGGAGTCCGCTCCGCACCTCTCCCCGCTCCGGTGGCCGCAGCAACCTGGGTGCTCCTTGCCTGCAGATACATCTCCCTGTGCCTGCCTCCGTCTTCACGTGGTGCTCTTCCCGGTGCCTCTGTGTCTGTGTCCAAGCGGCCTCCCCTTGCAAAGCACAGCCGCTGGACTGGGGCCCACCCTAATGTCATACGTCTTCGTCTTATCTTGATCACACCTGCCAAGACCCCGTGTCCAAGTCAGGTCGCGCCGACTTGGCACACACGGGGGGCCTTCTGCCCACAGGGGATAGCCGAGGGGCCGCTCGTGATCCTTGCTCACCAGCACCGGCCTCCAGTTCTCATGGCTACGGAGATTCGCCCTGAGGGAACTGCGTGTCCACTGGCTCGCTAACCTGATACGGCAGAGACGGGTGGGACCAAAGCCCCGCCGCCCACTCCCCCAGAGTCAACGGACAACTGCCCAAAGTCCAAACCCAGTTCAGCCTCCTCAGTTCTTACACCAGCAA